AAGATATAAACACACTAGTCCAAGCTTCTCCTGCAGAAATGAGCTCTGTCTCTACTCAAAAGCGAGCGAGCGAGAGAGAGATCTTTCATTTGGTGGCTCACCCCCCAAGTGGTTGTAACAGCCAGCGTTGAGCCAGGCCATCAGCTTCCTCTGGGTCTCCTACATGTGTTGCAGAGCCCAGGTGTTGGGGTCACCATTCCGTGCTTCCCCAGGTACATTAACAAGGAGCTAGACTCCGCCCAGGGCTCCCATATGGAATGCTGACATCACTAGTGGTGGCTAAACTCAGGGTGTCACAACGCTGGTCCCTCTATGTGGAGGTCTGTTCCTGTCTTTTCCATGTGATCCAATAGAGTGTCTTCTTCAGAGTATGCCCAGCCCAGACTCGGCCTGTTCAGTGGCCATGTCATTCCCACAGCTGCTGAGCACCAACTACGGTTCTTCATCTTCACATGCATCTGTCTGCATTCCGGGTGGAAGCCCACAGTGAGCATTGGGGACAGGTTTTGAAGGCTGCTCAAGCAAAGCTAAGCATCATGGATTTTATTCACTGGGAAGCAAGAAGTCACACAAAAACCTGCACTTCTGTGTCGACTACCAACTACACCTTTCCCTCATTAAGCAAAACATTTATCTTAGGTCCTGTGTTGTGGCACAGTACATTAAGCTGCCACCTGTGATACCCACATCCCATATGGGCACCGGTCCAAGTTCTCCTTGCTCAACTTCCAATCCAGTGCCCTGCTAATGCACTTGGAAAAGCAGTGGAAGTACTGGGCCCCTGTACCCACATGTGAGGCTGGCTCCTGTCTTGGCCCTGGCTCAGCTCCAGCCATAGCTGCCATTTGGGGAGTGAACCAACAGGTGGAAGATCAGTCTTGTCTATCTCTCCCCTCTCTCTGTCACTCTGCCTTTCAAACAAATGAAAGATGCACCTTTGGAGAAGAATGACAGCCATGCACGCACGTGGCAGACGCTGCAGGGCGGGGAGGCTGCCCCCGCTGGCTCCGGCTTGGGCCTGACGCAGGCCCCGTGCTTCTGGATGCAGACACTGAGGTCTGGCCTTGCAGGCCTGTTTGCTGCTGCATGGTTTGTTCCTCTCTGGATTGTAATTGTAACGCACATCAACCTGGTGATCGCTTTGTTTCCATGTGACCCTGGAGACTTCCTGAGTTTATTACTCCAGTCCCTTTGGTTGGACACTGAGACTTTTTCAGTCATACATGAGCAGTTCACATAATACCTCTCCCTGCAATGTTGCCATTTTCTTTCAAAGAAGAAAGAAAGAAGGCATGGGCCCAATGCAATAGCCTAGGGGCTAAATCCACACCTTGCAACCACCAGGATCCCATATGAGCACTGGTTTGTGTCCCAGTTGCTCTACTTCCCTTCTAGCTCCTTGCTCATGGCCTGGGAAAGCAGTGGGGGATGGGCCAAAGCCTTGGGACCCTGCACCTGCATGGGAGACCTGGAAGAAGTTGCTGGCTTCAGACAGGCTCAGTTCTGGCTGTAGTGGCCACTTGGAGAGTGAACCAGTTTGTAACTTTCCAATAAAAATGTAGAAACAGAAAGAAAGAAAGAAAGAGAATAAAAGAAAAAAAGAGAAAAGAAAAGAAAACAGGGCATGCAATAGGCAGACAAAGCCAGGAGCCCCAATTTCCATCCAGGTCTCCTAGGTGAGTGGCAGGAACCCAAGTGCTTGAATCACCTTTTGCTTATGTGTGACGTGCAGGAAGCTGGGACTCAAACCCAGGCACTCTGCCGTAAGACACAGGTGCACTGAATCCGACCCCTTCTCCTGGAGCGTCCTCATGCCTTCTCCAAGGTTGCTCTCCTGGCAGCATTCGACCAAGCCCACGTCTTCCTGTGCACAGAAAACAAACACCCCCCATGTCCCTCCAGCTGCCATCCTCTGTGGCCCTGCCTTCCTGTCCCTCTGAGCTCTTTCCTAGGGTATGTCTGCTCTCCTGGTGAATTTGAGAACCACCCCGCACTCCACCACCAAGCCTGCCTGCTTCCTGTCTCCTGTGCCTCCTGCCCCCAGCCAGACCATCTTCCTCCTTCCTGGTTCCCGCCCTGACTCTCTAATCCCAAATTGCAACCTTCACCGCCCACTGTTCCTTGCCAATCACCAATGTGCCAGCTACACCCTGGCCCCTGGCTCACCTCCTGTCTCCAGCTGGGTCCTCTTTCCTGGTCTTCTATGTACATGCGTGTATTTTGTTTTGTTTTGTCTTTGTTCAGTAAGATGGGTGCCACACCCTGCACATAATACTTTTCAGGGCTCGTTCAAGGCCTCCAAGATGAAGTACAAAAAACTGTAGACTTGAAGCCAGGCCTTGCTTCCTGCTGCGAACAACTTCCAGGTCCCGCCCACTCCAGGCTGTCTTTCACGCCTTTGGGCACACTGGTGCCTCTTGTGTAAGGCCATTGCTGTGTCTGTCTGGTTAGCTTGAGGACTCACCTTACTCCTAGCTTAGAGGCCACCTCCCTCTAGAAAGTCTCCTGACTTTTTGCCTGCCAGGGCTCACCGAGAGTGCCCAGTACTGACCCAACACACAGTACCCGTGGTGCTGGGTTCTGTTCACCTGCTTCAGGTCTGTCACATGACCCTTTCTCCTCTCCCCCTTCCCGACCTCTGGACTCAACAGCCTCCTCACAGGACCCGTGTCTGCTACACCCCTGACCCAGCACGCTGCGTGATGCCAAGCGTGTGAGCAGTGAGTACATGCTGCAGGCATGGTTGGTCACAAACCGACGCCCCCCTCGAGGCTCAGCCTGTCTCTACACTGAAAAGTCTCCTTTTCAGGCACATTGCCCAAGCTGGGGCTCCAGGAGGGATGAATGCAAAAAGCTTTGCATTCCCACAGCTAAGTACCTTTCCTTAAAGGCTCTGGTGTTTGACACGTGCGCCCAGCACTTGACATTCTGGCAGCTTGGCAATTTTCATTCTTTTTTTTTTTTTTAAGTACTGATTTTCTAGGCAAAACCTATCACCTTGTTCTAATTTGTGTGTCTTGGATTACCAGCGATGGTAAGCACATTTCCATAGGTTTGCCTACTGAATGCATTTCTTCTTTGAAGATTTCCTCATTTGTGTGACCTGGAAACTGTGACAGCAAAATGGCTTTTAACGTGGTGACTCCAGTGGGGGGTGCAGGAGGCAGCTGCTGCCACAGTCTCGGTGACAGCTGAGCAGGCCATGCGGAGCACAGAAGGGTCAGGGATCAAGGAGGCTAAGCTGACCCAGCCTGGAGACTCACAGGACAGCGAGGGTGTGGAAGGGGGGAAGCCAGGTGCACTGCTGAGCAGCAGGAGGTGACCGGTGCTGAGATGGCACCAGGTGGACACACACACATTGTTCCAACCTGGCTGCTCTACTTTTACTCCAGCTCCCTGCTTATGGCCTCAGAAAGCAGTGGAAGATGGCCCAAAGCCAAAGCTGCATCCACTTTGGACACCTGGAAGCTCCCGGCTTTGGAATTACCCCAGCTTCAGCCATTTTGGCCACAATGAACCAGCAAATGGCCACAGTGGCAAGTGCTGGGTCAAGAAGCCAGAAGCATCCTCCAGGTCTCTCACAGGTATGGCAAGGGCTCAAGCACTTGAGCCATCTTCCACTGCTTTTCCTAGGCCAATCAGCAAGAAATCAGATCAGAAGTGGAGCAGCTGAGACAGCTCCAGCACCTGTTTGGGATGCGGGCTGTTACTGGAGGTGGCTTTATCTGTTACACCATTATCCTCTAATTTATCTATTTGAGATGCACAAAGAGACAGACAGCTCTCCCATCCAATGGTTCACTCTCCATATCGCTCCAAATGCCCAGAATAGCCACGGCCAGGAGAGGCTGCAACCAAGAACTCAGACCCCAATCCAGGTCACCCACATGGGCAGCAGAGACCCCAACACTTGAGCTATCACCTGCTGTCCTCCGGGATGCACATTAGCAGGTAGCCGTGTGGGGTGCAGCTGTCCCAAGCAGCACCTTAACCCCGACTCCAAGTGCCTGCCCCAGATACAACACTGTCTCTGCCCTCAGCCAGCCCAGCACTCCACTCTGGGTCCAAGACAGCTCTCCACGCCAAGCCACCAAGCCACAAGGCCACGTTCATCCTCTCCCAGCCACCTTAGGTTTCTAAAGAGCAGTTCCCACCACACCTCCCAACTCTACAGATTAAGACAACCCTCAGTGTCACAGTCCCCTAAACCTACCTAAAGTTGAACTGCTGGAGAAAGCAATGGATTAGACTCTAAATGCTCATGGAAGTGGCCTGGTTGTGTACACTGTGCTACCCACAGCCAGAGCCAATGGGGCAACTGGGAAATAAGGTGAGGTCCTTACTTCCAGAGATGGAACAATCTCAAAGATCTGTAATGGCCAATGAGGAGCACAAAGTACAGGACAGCCTGGCCACCATACTGCCATGGAGGGGGCTAACGGGAGAGGAGGGCAGGCAGACATGTGGGCTCTGGGCAAACACCCTTGTATCCCACATAGGAGGGCTGGGCCCCAGACCTGGCTTCTGATTCCAGCTTCCTGCTACTGCAAACCCTGGAAAGCAGTGGTGGCAGCCCGAGGGTCTGGGTTCCTGTCACCCACACCAGGAGGTTTGGCCTGCGATGCTGCGATCCGGCTTCTCCCAGCTGGTAGGCACTTGGAAATGAACCAGGGCATGGGAGCTCTCTGTCTCCATGTATTTCTACCTCAAAATATATATATATATTTTTAAATAGACTATTTGATTGCTCCAGGCACAGGACTGGAGCAGCTGGCAGAAGGGAAGTCATGGTACTCAGTGTGTGTGTGTGTGTGTGTGTAGTGTATATAAGTGTGTGCAGCTCTTTCGTCTCTGCATGTGCCTGTACCATACACACAGAACATATTCTTACTTAAAGAAATAAGCTCAAACAATGGCATCACACAATCTCACACACACAGGTGTGTATCTAAATGAGTTGCTGATGCTCGCTCCTCTCCATCCCCAACCCTCACCTACAGGGCCAAGAAGAAAATCTTCTGGCGGCTGATCCTGCTTGCACTTGGCCTCTTGGGCTTGCTCCTGCATGGGCTCCCAATACTCAGGTACAGCCTCCCTGCCCAGCACTTGAGGCAGGCACACTTGGGTCAGGGCTGGGGGTTAGGAGGAAGTGGGCTCTGTAGATGCCCTCTCCAGGGATGAGAGGTGGTGGGCAGCCTTGGGCAGGTGTCCTGGTGGACTCTCTCTGCTGGAAAGCTGCCATGCCCCTCATGACTGTTCCCACATCACAGGCACCTGGAAGTCCTCCTCCCCATGGGTGTCTGCCCAATAGCCACAAGGCAACAACTGCAAGACAACTTCACAGGTGTCCTGCATCCTTGGTAAGGAGCTGCCATCCTGTGGTCCTGGTATCTGCCCTTCCCACCCCAGCTGGGTCCACCAACCCGAGGGCCTCCATGAGGTCACACATCTCCCAGTGTTCAAACTGCCTGGCTCTGAGTAAAGGGTTTCTGAGGAAGGGGGGTGGGCAGAGGAGAAGGCGTGGACTAGCGTGATGCCCTGGAGGTATCTAGGTCCATTCCTGGGGAGACACCAGTAGGCACCCAGCAGGTGGCTAAATGGAGCTGTCTCCCAATCCACCACCCCTGGCCAGGGCCCGCCCTGAAGTCCTGACCTGTACCTCCTGGGGGGCCCCCATTATTTGGGATGGCACCTTTGACCCAGATGTGGCCCAGCAAGAGGCTGGACAGCGGAACCTCACCATCGGGCTGACTGTTTTTGCTGTGGGCAGGTAAGGCCTGGGGAGGCGGAGATCATTGTCTAGGCAGGGAGGGCGAGGGTGGCACCTGTGTACAGGATACCTAGCATCCTGCTCCCGTATGCTTGGGGTCCCGCAATGAGGCATCCAGGGTGAGCAGAGTGCCAGCAGCCAGGGCTCACAGTGGCTTCGGAAGAGGAGCCGGCCTGGAGGCCATGGCTGGTCAGCTAGGAAATGCCAGTCTTTGTGAGCAGAGTGAACAGGAAGCAGCAATTGCTTGGGTAGACAGAGGGAGGCAGGCACCCACTGGAGGTCCAGATGGCTTCATTGCAGGCACAGAGGATAGGAGATGGGTGGCACAATTGGATCATGGGTGTTTGATGGGGACGGGGGGTTGCAAGTGAACAGATCCAAGCTGGGAGCAGAGAGAAGTTTAGGAAGGAGGGGGAGAGAGTGGCTGAATCACCAGACCAGAGGGTCCCGGGAGCCAAGACTGTTGGGTGGGGCAAGGGACAACAGAGATGGCAAGCGAGATGGTAGCAAGGGGGGTTATTCAAGGTGGCAACAGTAGGTAGGGCTGCCGTTCTGGAAGTGGAACGGAGATTGATGATAACCACTTGGCGGGAACAGCCACAGGAGCAAGTGTCCAAGGAATGCAGTGGACAGAACAATACAGGAGTGCAGGCCGGGCTGGTGGGTGGGGCAATAGTCACGCAGAGGGGACCAGGATGTGCATGTGGAGCTAGCAGCAGGAGGGAGTGCTGGATGTGGAGCGGGCTCCTGGCTGAGGATGGGATCCTACAGCCCAAAGGGATAGCGCTCTGGGCTATTTCAGGAGGCCGGCCAAATGCCAGACCCAGCAGCATAAGAGAGCCTATGACAGCTCCTCATCCAGAACTCTGAAAGGCTGCTGCACTTCCCTCCCAGCCATGTACACGCATACTCCAGAACAGAGAGGAAGCTAGTAGGCTCCTGGCAACCAGGTTCAAGGGCTCGCCCATGGACCAGCAGTGAGCACCTCAGTGTCCCAAGCCCCACTCCCATTCAGGATGCCAAGGCCCTCCTGCCACAGCCCATGGGTTCATGTCTCTGGGTACAGACACACAGGAACCTGTGAGTCCAGCACCAGAGGCCTCTGCTTCCTACACTGTCTGATTCCAACATGCTAAAGTCAAGCCCCACAGCAGTACAGGGCCCAGCACCCAGGCCGGTCGCAGTGGCATTCTCCTGCTTACTAGCAGTGTGTGCCAGGGCCTGCTATGAAGGCTTTGCAAACAACAGCCTTGTGGTCTTGGAGCAGCACCGTGAGTTACCCAAAATGTGAGACATGGTGACTGCTCTTTCACACCCAGGGGTCCCAAGGTCCTGTTAACTCAAAGCACTCAGCTTCTATCCCTGAGGAATCACTATTAACTCAGCGACAGAATAGCATGACAGCTGGCAATGAGGTGGGCCAGGAATTCAAACAGGGCTTGGCAGCCCAGGGCTCCTCACTGCCCTAGGAAATATCTGAGTCTCCACTGGTTGGCCAACTGCTCATTGCAGCATTGGACAAATGGTGCCAGCGCCCCACCAGGCCCGTGCAGCCCCAGTTCCTTCGGGTCCTGTTGGTGGATACAGAGAGGACTTGGCGCCATGCGCCTTCCAGGCAAGACTGGCCCACAGTCCGTAAGTGCTTATCACCTGCCATTCCAAGATGCTAGGACTGGAAGGTTCTGGAGTTCAGGACACTGGAGTGGGGAGGTCAGGGTAGAGGGCGGTGTGGTGGGCTGGCTGCACTGGAGTCGCTGACCAAGGTGCCCCGGCTGGCTGACAGGTACCTGGAGAAGTACCTGGCGCGTTTCCTGGAGACTGCCGAGCAACACTTCATGGTGGGTCTGCCCGTGCTGTACTACGTGTTCACCGAGCGGCCGGCGGCAGTGCCGCGCGTGGCTCTGGGCCCTGGGCGCCGGTTGCACGTGCAGCGCGTGGCGCGCGAGCGGCGCTGGCAGGATGTGAGCATGGCACGGATGAGCACGCTGCACGAGGCTCTGGCCGGCCCGCTGGGCCGTGAGGTGCACTTCGTGCTCTGCATGGACGTGGACCAGCATTTCAGCGGTACCTTCGGACCCGAGGTGCTGGCCGAATCAGTGGCACAGCTGCATGCCTGGCACTACCACTGGCCCCGGCGCCTGCTGCCATTCGAGCGCGACGCACGCTCGGAGGCCGTGCTGGGCCCTGGCGAGGGCGACTTCTACTACCACGCAGCCGTGTTCGGGGGCAGCGTGGAGGCCCTGCGCTCGCTGACGGCGCACTGCGCGCGGGGCCTGCAGCGTGACGCCGCGCGCGGCTTCGAGGCGCGCTGGCACGACGAAAGCCATCTCAACAAGTTCTTTTGGCTGCACAAGCCCACCAAGGTGCTATCGCCCGAGTTCTGCTGGAGCCCGGACATCGGCCCACGGGCGGAGATTCGCCAACCGCGCCTGCTCTGGGCGCCCAAGGAGTATGCACTGTTGCGCGACTAGCGAGCGCAGCCCACACGGGGGAGCCCACGGGGATGCTTGGGCACCGGAAGGGTGGGGAGTGGCACTTGGCGGGGAAGGAAGGGGGCGAAGAAAGGGTCCTGGGAGCCGGGGGTCCCTCCTGGAAGCTACATGACGGCTTGAAGGACAGAGGGATAGCGGCTGGAGCAAGCTTCGCCCCGTCCCGTGCATCCCCCGCCCCCACCTTTCACTTTGTGCAGCGACTAAGGCAGAGCTGCCCTGGTGCCAGGGGTGAGTAATCCCGTGACTTTTCACCTTTGACCTTGCTGATGCCACCGAGAAAGATGTTTCTGCCCAACCTGCTTCCTAAAATATGGGAACTGAGGCACAGAGACAGCGAGAATCTAACTGGATCACTGTGCTGTCAGTGAGCGCTGGGCTGGTCCCCGCAGAGCGAGAAATGCAAGCTGCCTCAGAGGTCGCTAGTCCCACCCTCGCTCCGCCCTGGCCTGACCTGGAGCATGGCTTGTGCATATTTAAGCTCTACTGTAATAAGTGCTTCTCGGCCTTTTGGCTAAGACCAAGTGTAGTACTACTGTAATAAAATCTCCAGAAACTTCTTTAGTGGCCTCTTGCAGCTAGAGAGTAAAAAATAGTATTTCCTGGCCTCAGGTTTGGTGAGGCCGAAGGGACAGGTGGGCCACAACACACCTGCCAGGTGAGTTTCTTATCTGTGGACTTGATAGAAGGTGGGCTTCAGGTGGAAGGGGAAGGCTGTCCACTCTCAGGATGAGTACCAGGGCCGTTGGCTGCACCTGTGAGATGTTCGTCCTCCGCCATACCCAGCTCCAGTGGCCCACGTGCACTACCGCTAACGACCCTGTGCCACTTAGAGATCCTGGCGCGACTCGGCCCTTCTCCCAGCTCTGTGCGCGGTGTGGACAAGCCCCTCACCTTTGCCAGCTGGGTCTCAGTTTTCCTCCCATACAATGGGTGACTTGCCAGTTGCCCTCCTTGCAGGGACTGCTCTGGCGTTCTGGAAAACCCCACTTCCCTCTCCCTGCCTGTGCCTTCTGCAAGTTCCCAGAGTCTAACAAATTTGCCAACGAGAGCAATCTGTGCCCCAGATCCTGGGCTAGGACCGGCTTGTGAGCTGTTGAGGGGACCACAGGCTGGGCAGCTCCTTGGAAACAGCCCCCTCCCCGCGAGCCCCGGGGCCTGAGAAGGGAGGGGCCGGGGGTGCAGAGACCTGGTGTGAAGCAGGAGCAAGCAGGAGTTGAAGTTCCTTCTGTGGCTCCCTTCGTGGCCTTAGCCACAGTCGTTGGCACGACCCTGGACCCACGGGGAAGCAGCAGAGCGCCCACCCTGCCATGCCCACTCCAGAGCCATCCTCAGAAACTCCGCATGTCCACACAGGCTTCATCCCGGATCACAGATGGCATGGAACAGCAAGCCACCGGGGCTAAGGACAGCCAGGACACATGCAGACTGGCCCTAGGTCCCAGGCTCAGTCCTGCACATCAGACATGGATTGATTCATTCCATCCTCTTTGCCTCATTTGACCTCCGAGCAAGCCAGACACAGGGTCGTTCAGTAACCCAAGGGCACAGCACAAGCCACTTTCACCCATGGATGTGAGAACAAACAGGAAGTTAAACACAGCCACGGGGTGAAGCTGGAAGGCCTCCAAGGCTCTCGCTCTCCCCTGTCCATCGGTGCTGGGCCAGCACAGCCAGCCCCGCCCCCAGACATTCAAGGGGCCCTTGGCCTCCTGACTGGTCCCTGGAGAGCCTGATGGATGCATGAGTCCACATGCAGCTCCTGACTCTTGGCAGGGAGGGAAGCAGAAGCTCGTGTGCTGCTATTGTGGTATCTGTCCCACCAGGGCCAACCTCAGGCTGCCATTGCTCACGGTGAAGCAGGTGGGCCATCATGGACCACCGGACGCAGCTAGGGCTGGAGTCCCTGGGCCAAGTGTCCAGTGCTATGGCTGGGATGTGATCATGTGACCAAATCCCAACCCTTCCAGCTATGTGCACGTAGGTATTTTGGGGAGAACAGCCCTGCGAGATAGAGGGGGACAGTGCTGGCTCCTGGGGTCCCGTGTCCACTGTCCCTCCTGATGCTGATACACCCTGGCCCCCACCACCCTCTGACCCCGGAGAGATATAATGGAGGTACAGGTTTTGTCCTGTGCTCCAGGTGACAAACATGGGTCCCCATGCCCAAGCCAGACAGCCCATGCCCAACATAGCCACAAGACCTGGTGGTGTTTAGGCTATTGGAGTGCAGAGGTAGCAGCCGTGAGACCGGAAGTGCCAGCCCCACAGGAACTCCTGACCCAGGCGGGCTCTGAGAGCCTGGTGAATGGCTGGAGACATCCCCCGAGGCCGCTGCTGCCTGACCCCTGCCCAGCTGCCCGAGCGACTGGGACTGGGCTTCCTGGGTCACTGAGAGCTCCCCACGCTCCCCGAGCACAGCTCTGACCAACCTGCCAGAGAAGGGGCTCCTGGTCCCCATTCACCCACCCTGGCAAGCAGAACGCAGGCCTCCACATGGGGACAGGCAGGTGGGAGGACGGCTCCATGGGCCTGTGTCCCAGCACTGCGGGTGCAGCACTCGGCCCAGCTAGGACCGGTGCATCCCCAGGGAACAGATGGGCCCACTGTCACTCTAGAATGGGTCGAGCCTACCAGAGCCCCCTCCACCCAGGCACAGCCCAGCACCCTCCACGTGTCACCTACTTTGCAGCGGAGCCATGGGGCACCCACAGAAGGCACCACTTCTGGGCCTGCGCGAGGCTATCCCAGGGCCAGGGTCTGTTCACTCCCTGGCTTCCCCAAGCGCAGGGTCAGGGCCGGGAAGGGACAGGGAATGGCGTCTGCCCCGCTCTCGCACACAGCACGCCACACACGGATGCTGCCCGGGTGCAGGTACAGTTTATTCTTCACAACAGAGAAATACAAAGAGCAGAGGTTTTCCTTTGTTTCTTACCCCTTTAGTGTTTTTTCCCCCACATTTGCTCTCGTTCTGGCTCCCCACCCCGTCTCCTTGCTTCCTGCCTCCCTGCTTGCCCTCACCTCCCGGCCACCGAGACGCACACGGAAAAGCCAGCACAGTTTTCTCTTTTTTAATAAGGTAACTAGTTCTAAGTACGGTGGCCTGGAGGTCCCAATAGAAAAAAAAAAAGCAGAGGGGGTGTCAACAGCATGGAGAACAGCGTATTTACAGGGTAGTAACATGCGGACGAAAAGCTACGATACTGAATATCAGACAACGCAAGTCAAACAAAGGAGGTGGGGCGGAGGCAGAGAACCCCACGGGAAAAGAAACCCCAGGAAACGTTAAACTGGTAAATCAATGGCGAGTTAAGGCTTAAAAAGTGTATAAAAATAACACAGTTAATATTCCAAACGCAACTCCAGATACAGAATATATAGATGAGTTTCTGTCTAGTTTTCTCCCCCCCCCCGGAGGGGACGTGGGGAGTTTCCCTCGCTCTGTACATGTTCCTATATACACGGACACGCATGGCTTTCAGATTGGGGTGTGTCTGTGGGGTGGCGGGGAGCGGGTCTGCTCCCGTTCCCTCCTCCCCGCAGGCCTGGGCTGGGGAGTCCCTCCTTCACCCCACTCCCCAACGGCAGGGAAGACAAACAACCCCTCCCTGGGCTCTGTCCCCATCTGGAGAAAGTTCGAGAGAGGTCCTGGGCGTAGGCGCATCCCCTCCCCAGACCCCTCCCCACGGTCTGGGATGGTGGGAGAGGTAGCCGATAGGTTTCCTGGCCAGCACCGAGGTAGACTGGGGTGGTCTTCAGGGCGGTGGGGCTCACCACCCCGCCCCACTCCCCTGGGCCTGCCACCCAGCCCGTCACTGCACCCGTGGGTCCTGCGGGTCTCCCACTCACTCCTCTCTTGTCTCTGTCTCCTGAATCCTGGATGCCCCGGCTGGCCACTGTTGCATCCCTCTATTCTCTGATGCCCAGGGCCAGGCTGGAGAGGGCTGGCCAGGCACCCGGGGCCTAAGGGGCTCACTCCAGCCGCCTCCTGCCCCTCCCACCCGGCGGTCCTGTTCACAGACCCGGGGCTCCAGAAACTGAATGTCCCACGTGGCCCTCTGGTTTTCCGCATCCGGCTGTCCGATGTTTTACATTTCTCGCTTTTAGCAGCACCAACTTCCTGGCCAATAAATATTTCCTTTTTTTTTTGTTTTGTTATTTCCAAAACAAATTAAAAAAAAAAAAACAGTGAAGCAAGTGAAGGGCATGGAGAGAAAGAAAACCCGACAGGTTCAAAGTGCTCGGAGATCGTCTTTGGATGCCACCGGGACAGTCCAGAGCTTGCAGTAGGTCTGGCCTCCCTGGGAGCTGGACCAGGCGGGGGCTTCTGCAGGCTGCACTTTCTGGAAGGTCAGGAAGGTCGTGAGAGAGCCTGGTGGTCCCCAGAGGCCCCCCTCTCCTTCAGAGAGCCTGAAGTCTGCCAACGGGCCAGGCGGGGTGGCGGCCTCGGATGGGCTCAGATGAGGGAGATTCGCACGGGGATGCCTGGGGACTCCGTCCTCTGAGGCGAGTGATGGCTCACCAGGTGCTCCACCACTGTGTGTTTGGACATGTGCTTCATTAGGTAGGTCTCCTGTGGGCAGGTGCAGGGGAGAGGTGTAAGCACTCAGAGAGGAAGGCATGGAGGCTGCAGTTCCCCCACGTGGCCACTGGAGGGCTCCCGGGAAGGCGGGCCACCTTGGTGGCCGCTGCCTCTGGCATTGACTGCTGGGCTGCCCGGGGTGACAGGACTTCTGGCTCGCCTGCTGGAGTCCCAGGCCTCAGTGGGGGCTGGCTGGTGAGCCAGTGGGTACCAGGCTCCCACATCAGCGCTGGCAGCCCTTTACCCACTGGCCACCCCTGGCGGAGGGTGGCTGGAGCCCAACCCTACCTACCAGGTGCACCTGCCTTAGCATCCCATCACGCAGTCCTCTTCTGGGGAGAAACCAGGTCCCCCTGCCCCGGCTCATCTGCCCTGACATGCCATGACTGCACAGCCACTCATGCCAGGCCATGCCCCGCATTGGGTGAGGGGCAGGTCCCCTTGGGGGCCTCACCTGCCAGGCCTGGCCCTCACAGGGCAGCTGAGGGAGTGCTCATGTTTGCTGGTTTCGGGCCAGTCAGTGACACCAGAGGCCAGGGTCTACAAGAGGCAGACTAAGAGAGTGCTCCTAAAACGGGAGGGCAGGAATCTTGCTAGGGTCCTGCTAGACGCAGCACTAATGAGACCAGAGCAGTATGTGTTGGCTGTTCTGACATGCTTGCACTAATGACTTTTAAGTACTACAAAGACAGGGTGGGGATGTTCAAAAAAGGAGGCCTTATCATCAAAGATACAAAGTAACAGCTTTACACATGAGATAAAGTGGGGTTCAGCTTTCAGCTCTGGCCCTGGAACTCCAGCGCTGAATCAATGCAGCTTTCTCGGTACTGGGCAAAGAGCAGCCCTGGCTGGCGCCTGACCAGGCCTGCTGACTGACCCCTGCCCTTGCTCCATGAGCCAAACACCCTCCCAGGGGGCCTGGGGGCAGGGAAGATGCTGCCAGATGCCTGCATCCCACATGGGAGTGCCAGGGTTCCGGCTCGGGCTGCACTTCCCGCCCAGCTTCCCAGTGACACACACCCTGGAAGGAAGCTGGTGGTGGCTCGGGCACGTGGGTCCCTGCCCCCCCATATGGCTGCTGGCTCTAGTCTGGCCCAGCCCTGACTGTGGCAGCCATTTGGGCAGTAAGCCAACAGATGAAAAATATCTGTCTATATCACTTTACCTTTAAAAAATTAAAATAAGCTAAAAAAAAATATTTGAAATCCTCCCTGGTTTTCTGATAGCTTCCCATTCCACTGGGGCAAATATGGGATCCAGTGGGATGGGAACTGCCCTCCTTTGGGTCTTAGAGCGCCATGTGTGGTCCACGCAGAGCTGTCCCTCTCCTTGCGTGCTCTGTGGGCGGCCAGGCTTAGGAAAACGTCCCTTCCCCAGGTGGCCCTTCTCGGGACGAGCTTAGCTCCGGGCCGTGCTACGGTGCCACCTTGTGGCCGTCGTGGGAGTGGCAGCTTCCCTGACCCTAGTCTCTCTGGCCTTGGAGAGCAGGGTGCACCCGGCCCACCTGCCAGCCCGCGGCCAGTGTTCCAAGGGCCCTGGGACCCAGACTGGGGGCTCTGCCCCGGGCAGCGGGGAGCAGGAGCGGAAGCCCTGGCTTGGCAAGTGGGAAGTGGGGCGAAGGAGGACTCACCGAGGTGTAGGCCCGCCCGCACATGCTGCAGCAGTAGGCCTTGGCGTGTTTGATGGCGTGGGCTGAGAGGTGGATCTGCAGGGAGGCCGAGTCTGAGTAGGCCCGGTAGCAGTTGGGACACTTGTAGGGCTTGTCCTTGTTGTGCTGGCGCTGGTGGGACTACAGGAGCACAGCAGGGCATCAGGAGGTGGTGGGTCCCTCTCCTCCCATTGTCCCCCCCACAGCCCGCTTCCACTCTTGGGGGCAGGGCGGCCGGGTACCTGGCAGTCGCCCCACTCTCAGTCCTCCCACCCTGGCACAGCCTCCTGGGGGGCAGGTGGCCGGGTACCTGGCAGTCCCCCACCTTGACACCATGCCCCGACCCTTGCACAGCCTCCTGGGGGGCAGGGCGGCCGGGCACCTGGCAGTCCCCCCACTCTCAGTCCTCCCACCCTGGCACAGCCTGCTGGGGGGCAGGGCGGCCAGTCCCCCCACTCCGGCACAGACTCCCGGGGAGGCGATAGGGAGCTGTGCCTCCAGCGGGCACTCACCTGGAGGTTGGAGAGTTGAGTGAATGCCTTCTCACAGCCAGGATGTGGGCACTTGTAGGGTCTGTCGCCTGTGTGGATTCTGCAAGGGCAGCCCAGTGAGCTGGAGGCCTTGGCACATGGCCTCTCCTGCCCCACTCCGCAGGGGCCGTAGCTGGGGGCCTCTCCATCTCTCCTGCTCTGCCCCCTCAGTCTAACCCTACCTCTGAAACCTTGGCTCCCCAGGGTCCCAGCCCTGTTCACATCCTGCCCACTCCTGGAGAGCCAGCCCTGAGGACAGCCACGAAGCAGACCCTCTCCCTGCAACTGTTCCCAGCCCCTACCCTGTCTGCAGTTCCCATCCCGCCTGGGAGCGTCTCCAAACCCCCACTCCAGAGGTCTCATCCTGGCTCCACCCCCGATTGGCTGGGTACCCTTGGGCGAATCCCTGAACCTCGGTTTCCTCATCTACAAAATGGGTATAAAAATATAACTTCTTTTTTAAAAAAGCTACAGCTCCTCCCCTCCTGAGCTTTGTGAATAAATACTCATCAGGGGCTTATTGTCAGAAGCATCGGCCAGCCTTGCTATCATTCATTCACCTACTCAACATTCATCGGGCGTCGCATGAGCCAGGCACCATGCTGGGTGCTGGGAAGACATCAGTGACCAAAGCAAACAAAACCACTGCCAGGTGTCAGGAGGGAAGCCTGTGAGTCACCCCAGCAGGTGACAAATGCTACCGGAAATGCCGGCCAAAGCGAGTGAGCGTGTCGCAGAGTGGAGGCGTGTGGACAGGGCGAGGACAGGGTCCCTGTGGGCTCTGCCCCTGCCATGCCCCAGCTCTGCCCATCCATGAAACTCAGACCCCTCCAGCATGGGCCATGGCCAGAACCTAGGACCCCAGGATCAAGTGCAAACCACTTGCACACTCACGGCTGCCAATCAACTCTGATTCCGGGGGCCACTGCACTGTTGCGGGAACCAGCTTCCTCAGGATGTCGGCCAGGGCCTTCTTTGTGGGGTCCTGCCTGGCCTCTTGCTCCCGGGCACTCTGAGCGCTGGCCAGAGAGTGGCTCATCTGTACTCCTTTTATTTGAGAGACCGAGATCCTGTCCCACTGGTTCAGTCCCCAAACCCGCCATGGTCAGTGGCCTGGGTAAGAGCCACGAGCCAGGAGCTCCAGCCAAGTCTTCCATGTGGGTTCACAGGGACTGCTACTTCCTGGGGTCTGCATTCCAGAAAACTGGAGTCAGAAGCTGGGGCTGGGAATCAAAGCTAAGTATTTGGAAGTGGGGTACCTCTGCAGGTGGCTCAGGTGCTAGCCCAGCACCCACACCAACGAGTTCTTTCTTACCTGGTAGTCCCTCCCCCCGTTCCTTGGCCCAGGTGAACAGCAGGGCAAGTCTCATCCCATGAGTCACTCCCCCTTTCCTGGATGGCTCCCCGAGCCCCTGAACATCACAGCTCTCCCTCACAGTCAGGAAAGGGCTACCCAAGAAGGACATCTCCACTAGCGGGGAGCCCAGGTGGCCCCAGACCCACCCAGGCAAGCCAAGTGCACCTGCCTTCGTTCTGAGCCACAATACACCAGCACACTCATGGCAACCACACATCTGGGGACATCACCCCTGGCCAGTGCACCCTCCCTCCAACAGAAGTATCTCGGGGTCACCTGGACCAACTCTCCACACCCCCCAACCCCTCTCGGGGCTGGTGACAGGTGCACAGGCAGTGAGGGTCCTACCGTCACCCTCCCAACCGTTCTGGTGTCGCGAGCTCTCTCCAGCCCCCAGGCCTCTGTCCCGCTGTTCCCTCTGTCAGGTACACCTTGCCCTCGGTTAGCTTGGCCAGCTCCCACACCCCTGCTCTCAGCAAACACCCTCTTCCTGGGGCAGTCTGCCCTGTCCCCTCGGACGAGCTCGGTCAAGGAACAGCCCCCCCTCCACACCAAGCTTCCCACCCTGGATGTCTCCTTCTCACGCAGCCTGAGAGGTTGACTTCATCAACATCCCACTGAGTCCCTTCGAGTACCAGAAGTCCCTGATCTTGGCTGCCGCCATCACCCTGGTGCCAGGCACAAGCTTGGCACAGAGGGCTCGACAGTGGCCGCAGACTGGAGGCGGGACAGTGAGTCCATCCTCTCTGGAGTCAGGCAGTAGTGCTAGGAACACACCCCACAGCATCGACTTCCATTCTCGGGCTGGGGGGGATAAATCTTGGATGTTTGTTGACTGACTGAATGACTGTCTCCAGGGCCTTCAGGCCCTCCTGACCAGGAACCTGCCTGTCCGCCTCCTCCAGGCAAGCCGAGCAATGGCGTGTGTTCTCCTGGATTCCCAGCCTCGGCCCCTGCCTGCAGATAACAGCCGCAGTTTGTAGCCCCCACTGCCTCCCGCTTTTTCCAGGACAGTCCTAACCCCTGGCCTGGCACTCAAGGCCTTTCCTGTTCTGGTGTCAGCGTCTCCAGCGCTCCTGAGCCTTTGCTCACGCTGTCGCCGGGTCAGGAATGTCCGCCGCCCCGGGCCAGGGGGAGAGTCACAGCAGCTTCAACGTTCAGTCTAGAGGTTCCCTCGTCACCTCCACCTCCACTTGCTCTCCTGACGGCCTGCCACCTCCATGGGCATCTTTCCAGGTCACTGTGGGAGGCCCACGGGCCAGGCAGGGCCTGCGTCTCCCCACTGCTGTGTGTGTGTGTGCGTGTGCGGGCGCAAGCACCCCGTCCTGGGCTGGCTGCGAAGCACCAGGCTGCTGTGCCCACTGGAGCCCACGCCCTCAGCACCAGGCCCTGAGGTTAAAGTCAGGTCCAGGTCCTTTGTAGGGCGTCTCTCCCCTGGCCCCCACGTCCATGCTGATGGGAAGCTCGCCCCCTTCTTGGAGGTGTCTCTTCTCCCTAGCAGCACAGGGAAGCTGGGCTCACTGACCCTGCACTCCCCGAGGGGCAGACTAAGCGACTTTACAGAAAAGGTGTACATAAATTATTGTAATGTCCATTTTCAATACATTCATTTCTACTTAAGATGAACAAATAACAAGATGTTTTCAATATTAAAATAACTTAAGAATTCATTGGTTATCCCTTTTCTTTCCTCGATTCATGATCTCTTACAAGCAGAAACAAATTCACATGACACAGAACTTTCTGGATATTTTGCACAGAGGCCACACTCTCTAACAAAGAATGGTCGTTGTTGCTGTCGTTATTATCATCAGACCCAAGTGCCCAAAAGGACACCTTCCCCTGCTCTAACTGCCACTTATGCAGGCACCTAACATCACAGCCAAGGAAAAAACAAAAATAAAAACAAAACACTCTTGGCACCCCAGATAAGCCAACCAACGCAGACTCCCTCCTGCCCAGCACTGGTTCTGCGGACGGATACAGCTGAGGCCCGGCTCTGTGCTTTCCTAACTCCCTCCAACACCACCACAGTGCCCCGACTCCAGCTGCGCACAGGGCCACCTGTAGACCCCTCGTGGCCCAGGAGACCCTCCTGCTGCAGACCCTCTTGGCCCCGGACGCCCACGGGGTGTCTATCAGCCAGGGGCTGGTCCTTCCACAGTCTGGCCTGGGGTAACACTGTACCGACCACCTGTTCTTCTCTGTCCTCCCTTCCCTCCCCGCGCAGCTTCCCTCCCCATTTCCCAGGATCACGAGGATCATGAACTTCGTCTCTGAACCACCTGCCCAGAGCAGCTTCCTCAACTCCCAGGGCAGCTAACGTTCTCACTCTCCCAACTCGCCCTCTGCCACTCAGCTGGGGCTGGCTCTGTGTGGGACATGACCTTCTTGTCTTCCATCCATTAGTGGTGGTGACACTGGGAAGATAGATTTGATTATAGGATCAGATTGCCTGGTTCCCGGCCAAGGCGCAGGAAAACAGCAAAGGGCTTCCGTCAGCCAGCAGCGGCCTGGAGTCTGCGCCCTGGGTGCTTCTTTCAATGTGGCTTTCTCGGCTGTTTGTCGAAAAGATCCTGGGACTCTATAGCAACTGGACATCCACCTCTGCCACTGGGCTAGGACATATGGGTTTAATTATATGTGCTGGTGCCTGGTGGCTTATAAATAGTCTTCTAAAGGTTGACAGAATTCTCTGAAGTTGTTCACACACACACACATACAACAACAACAACAACAACACATCAACCCCTTTAAGTCTAAGAAGACTCCAAAGAGAGGGTGCTCCATGAGGCAGGCTACTCACACACAATCTGGCGGCTGCCAAGGTCCTCATCTCTGATCAGACAATAAGAATTTTTCTGGCATCCACACATACACAAACGATTCGGGGCGTCACCCTATCTCTCGGCAAAAGCTCATTTCTCAGGCTTTTGGATGTGTTGTTTTAAGAGCCATACAACAGGAATGAGTTTTGGTTGGTTGGTTGGTTGTTTTTTAACCAACAACTTGCTATACCCACTCATACAAATTCAACTGGCCAACTGGAAACATTTAAAAAGCAGTGGTCAACTCAGAAGATTACCAAAACAAACTTCCCTGTTCAGATCAATGCCTTCATTTTTAGATTCATTCATTCAACCAGCCGTTCATTCATTCATCTATGTATTCCATCCATCCATCCATTCATGCATCTATGTATTCATTTTGAGACCAGTGCCTTTTGAGGCGCAGACATGAAAAAACAGACAGCCCCTGACCCTGCTGCCCTCTGTCGCTTGTCTGGGAACACAGGGACACAATATGCCCCCAGGTCAGCCAACCAGACCAGAGGGCATTGTGCTGCTATGGATAAAAAGGTACTTGGACACCACTGAGAAACAAACAGCTAATCCACCCAGAAGCAACATCACAACTACAGGGTCCCTCTCTATTATCCCTGTCTCCCATCCTAGCCCCTGCAAAGACAGAAAACTGTGAGCTCTTTCTGGACACGGCAAACTCCACAGCAACAACCATCCCGTTCCTGGCTCTTTCCCGGTGCACGCGGGCAGGCCCGTGACAGGTGAAGGAGCTGACCATCACCCGTTCCTGGCTCTTTCCCGGTGCACGCGGGCAGGCCCGTGACAGGTGAAGGAGCTGCCCATCAGCAGGTGGTTCTCGCCCTCTGCCTTGTTTCTTGCAATGCACGGTGTGAGTTCTTAGGGTGGGCTGGTCTGACCACTGCGCCCCTCTTCTTAAAGATACATACGCGTATCTTTGACACACTTCACTGGAAGTCTCCTGAAGACAAGGGGTTCTGTCTGCCACATTCCCTGCCACACTCTAGGCACCTGGGAGAGTACCTGGCTCTTTCACTATTTGTTAAACATATGCTCTACAAAAGCTAGCTCCATTTACTCCACAAAGACTCAGTGAATGCCAGTCACGTGCCACACCTGCTGGGGGTGGAGAAATGGCAGAGACCACGTTCTTGCCTTCAAGAGGCCCAGGGTGTGCTGCGGAAGGTGAGCCAAGCAACCAGGTAAGGACACAACAGGGGCACCAGTGCTGGGATGGGAAGGCACAGGGGACCCTCTGTAGCTGGGAGGCCTTCCTAGAGAAAGCTGGCCTAAACAATGGATATGCACCAGTGTGGCAGGTAAAGAATGCAGCAGGGGCAAGACCTGGTGATGGGAAACTGAGAGAATGGGGCAACAGTGAGAGGCTGGCCACGGCCATATGGTGAAAGGCCTTGAATGTCAAACAAAGTAACTTGCCCTTGACCCTGAGGGCGATGGGCGTCTAGAGAAAGTTTTGGAACCCCTTGCACCTGCTCCAGGCCACAGGTACTGAGTTGAAGATGGGCAGGTATTGGCTGCAGTACTGGACAGGTATTGGCAGTACTGGGCAGGTATTGGCAGTACTGGCCAAGTCACATACCTGGTGTGTTGCTGGAGGTGGGAGAGTTGGCGGAAGGACTTGTCACAGTAGGAGCAGTGGTAGGGCTTGACGCCCAGGTGGATGCGTAGGTGCTGGGCCAGGTAGGAGGCGTTGGCAAAGGACTTGGAGCAGTGCGGGCACTTGTGGGGCTTGGCCTCTGTGTGCGACTTGGAGTGGATCTGCATCTCAGACTTGGTGAAGAAGGTCAGCGGGCAGACCTTACACCTGTTGGCAAGAGGCATGCTCACACTTGGGAGGACGCCCTCCCAACTCCCGCAGCTCCACCCACTTACCTCCACGGGAGACCTCCCTCGGGTGTGGGACGGGCCTGTGGGGAGGCCTGGGAATCCAGGCCCACCTGGGAGTGGCAAGGGGGGCAGGCTTATATCTTGGGGTGGGGGAGTAGGGCTGTACCTCCCATGGAAGGTAAGTCCTGGGACCTAGGAAAGGGTGCCAGCCTGGAGATGCCATGCTCCCACAAGTTCTCAAACCAGCAGTCAGCTGGGGGCTCCCACGCCCCTGACCTGCAACTAGGAACTCGGACTTTCTGGAGGGGCAGCCACAGCCTGGGGATTTGGGGTTTGGTCAGGACAAGTTTAAGCAGAGGAAGAAATGGACAGACTACCTCTGCAAGGGTCCCAGGGACACGGACAGAGTTTGCTAGGAGCTCTGCCCCTTTGGAGCCCCAGCCTGAGCCCCAGCTCTGGGTCCACCCCTCCCCGAGTTCCCCCCGAGATTCCTACCTATACGTCTTGCCCTCCTTGGCAGTCTCGCCCGAGGCCAGGATGGGATAGGGGACAACGAGGACCGGTGGACCGCCTGGGTTCTCCGCCTTGATCTTTTTGCGGCCCCGTTCCGACTTGGGGGGGCCAAGCAGGCCATGGCCCTGGATTGTCTTGATGGAGTCCAGGAGGGGGGGGCTGGTGATCCCTGAGATGAGGGTGGGGGACGAGGCGATGAGGCGGCTCTGGCTGGTGGTGGTGGGTGTGGAAGGGGCGCTGGTGCCCGTGCCCGTGCCCGTGGCGGTGGCGGTGCCTGTACTTGACTCGGAGGTGCTCACGGCTGGGGTTCGGGAGGACAGCCCCAGACCTGCGAAGATATGAGAGCTGGGTCAGAGCTGCTGGGGCTTACCTGGCCAGGCTGGGCCTCGTCCTCTCGCCATTAGAGCAGCCTCCCACTGCAGAGGTGGCTACACAAGGGAGGGACGGGGGGAAGATGCTTCCAAGGCCTTAGGACCCAGCTGAGTTAGACGCCAGGGATGCTGGCGGCCTCAGGCTGGGCTGGGGCACAAGTGGGCTCACTGGGGTATGGTCACGGCAACATGTCAGAGGGGGCTGCCCAGCGAGGGTCACCAGCACCCTGACCCCAGGCATACGACACACGGACGGGAGGCTCGGGAGCCATTTAAATAAAAGTGAACTCACCGGATCTTCCAATTCCTTAACACTGGACTGTTTTTGAAACTTGTATTGTTAACCTTAAAAATCAGGGACCTGGAACTATTCATGCTATTAAGTGGATGAAAGGCCGAAAACAGATTCTCACGCAGTCTCAAGATCGCTAATCCGCGTATGGGAAATTAACCCTTGCCGTTCTGTTTGGTATGGCGTGACAGGGAGGAGGGAGGGAGTGCACACACACTGACAGCCCCCCGGGCGCCCTGTGAGGCTCACCACGAATGTTTCACACACACACAGCCTTGGACCCAGCCATTCTATTTCTAGAACTCCACCTCAGACATGCTTGCAGATGAGCCCAGAGATCTACGTGCAGAGGCCTGTCCCGCAGGCGAAGGAGCACGCAAAAGGGGGCCATGGAGTGTCTGTCCCCCACCGCGTCAGCAGCCACACCCCGGGAGGGCAGCACAGCCCCCAAACGAGACAGGTGCAGGGCACAGCGCCGTCAGACCAACCTGGGCTACCGCGGCAACAGCGGAGCTAGGCTACACACACACCTGTTTCAGAATACAACACTGCGGAAACCGCACACATTTGTATGGGACTCCACGTGTGTGTGCATGAATGCACAAACATCAGGACATGACACTCCCTGAGCAGCTAATTTTGGTTCTTACTCTGGTGAGGGAAAAGAATTTGGGAGCATTTTCCAGACTTTTGTTTATCTGTTTCTGTAATATTGAAATATTTTACCTGGCAAATGTATTCACTTTTTTTTTTTACATCTGTGATTAAAAAATAAAAAACAAGTTATATAGAAAACAGAGCAAAACGCTAATAGTAGTAAAACCCAGGCTAATTTTTTTTTTCTACTTTCAGGTAGTCTGCCAACTCTAAATTTTGTGTACAACTGTGCAACACCTTTATAATAGAAAACGCAATAAATGTGTTTATGATGAGGTGGCGAGTGCCGCCGTACCAGCAGTTCACCTAGGCGCAAGGAGAAACACGGATATGAAATACGAACGTAAGAGACGGAACGGCTCTCTCGGTTTCTGGGTCTAGAAACTGGGGATTGTGAATGATTTTTTTTCTTCATTTCTCCTTTTTCCAAATTTCCCTTAACATGCTTATATTACTTTTTTAATATTAGTTTTATAATGGAAAAAATGAATTTAATAAAATCTTAATAACTGGAGATGCACAGAGTGTGGCTGGGGCCCAGATGAGAATCACAAGGCCCCTGTAATTCCTGGATATCGAGAGAGAGAGAGAAACAGACCCAGTGAATATGTAGTGCCGGCTGGTGGCAGGTGGGCGAACCAGGCCAGGAATAAGGTCCAGTCCAGTGGCTGTCCCACCAGCTCCATGGAGGGCATCGTGGGGCTCCAGGCCCTTGGCACTGACCCAGGTTGACCCCTGGCATCAGAGCCTTTCTCCCCCGTCATTGGACCCATCCCCTCAGGACAGACCCCTTACCAGGAGATCTCCCACCTCCATCTGGCCCAGCACTGTCCCCACTGCTGCTGCCCGGCCCAGCCGAAACCGTCTCTGCAAGGCTCAGTCTCCACTTCCTGACTTCTAAGCCTTCCACGGCTCCCTACTGCCCAGGGTGAAGTGCAAACTGCTGAGCCTGGCCCACAGGGTCCTGCCAGTCAGTTTTAGCAGAACTGGATACACCAAGAGGTCAGGACGTGGACCCCTGAACCACCTGCCTCTGCCTCTTCTTGGCCACAAAATTACGGTTTTAATCTTTCTCTGCCTCTGTTTCCTCATCTGCGGAATGCAGACATGAAGGTGAAAGGCAGAGAACAACAGGCGTCTGGTCGGAGTCCCGGTCCTGCTGCCACCCTGGCTACGGAGGCAGCTGCTGCTAATGCACGCGAGAAGGCAGGGACAGAGGGCTGTGTGCGTCCCTGCAATCACACGGGAGACCAAGATGAAGCTCCAGGCTCCTGGCAGAAACCTGGCCCAGAGCCGGCTGCTGCAGCCATCGGGAGGAGTGGAGCAGCATGAAAGATCTCCTCTCCTCACCTCTCTGTCACTCTACCATTCCACAAATAAATCTGAAATAAAGAGGACTGATATTAATACTAATAACAGCCACTTCTTGGGCTGCAGAGGACAAGAAACAATATTGTGACACACACACACAGTGCCCCAGGCTGGGGATGGCAGTGGTGGTAACCCTTGGGTCCCACCCTGCCAGGGGGAGCCCCCTTCAGGGCCTTCCACGCCAGTACCCTCTTTGTGGCACCCCTGTCCTGTCTCCTTGCATTTCGGCCGTGCTACCCACCCCCCAGCCCCAGAGTTCTTGCTTTGCCCAGCCTAGCCTTCCTGATCAGCCTCCAGCAGACAGCTCCTCGCTGGGAAACCCTGTCCTCCCAGTACAACCTGAGTGCTATGGTCTCCCGTCCCAGCCCGACCTCCCCAAGTCTGCCAACCATGTGCACCCCAGGGTCCCGGCTGCCCCGCCCATGCCCGCAGGCCCCACCCTGGCCGTCCTACCTGTGACCGTGCTGGTGGCCGGCCGTGCGTGCAATGCCACGTCGGGCTGCGGCACGGCCTGCGGGTGCAGCCCTGGCACCTGCTGCAGCTTGGGCAGCGACATGACGGCCTGGCTGCTCTCGGCGGGCGCGGGCGGGACCAGCAGCGGCTGCTGTGACGACGCCGACGTGGGCGGCAGGTGAGGCGGCCGGATCTTCTCCGCCATCAGCTGCTCCTTGATCTTGTTAATCAGGACCAGGTTGTCCAGCTGCGGGCGGGAGCCCACAGGGGCTGAGGGGGCTGGGGCCACACCCCGTCCCTCCTCCTCCCTATCTTCTCCCCGCCAGCTCCATCCTCACCCCACCTGCAAACCACAACCAAAACCCTGGGGGCAAAGGCAAGGGTGAAGGCTGTCTTACCTGGCTGGGCATGGTGGGAGGAGGGGGCCAGAAGTAGGGGTTGTTAAATCGCGGCTCGGCCATCCTGCGGGGGACAGGAAGAGGAGTGCAGAGGGAGAACGGCTGTCATTGAGGGGGAAAGGAGCTGCCCCTCACAGCTCACAGAACCTTCAGCCCCCAGTCAAAGCAGGTTCAGGGCACCTCATCTCCTAGCAGCAGAAAAGATTGGAATTCAGTGTCTTCTCCCTCAGGGGGCTTGGGTCACATTCCAGGCCACACCATCTCTTCCCAGCATGCTACGGGGTGGGGTGTGGGGGGAGCAGGTTGCAGAGCCGACCCCCCAAACTGGGGAGCCCCCTGAGGCAGACACGGGGGCTACCTTAGGGTCATCATATCCGGCCTTGTTGAAGAGCAGGTGGGCAAGCCCAGGCATGGGCACGGGCAGGACCTGACCCCTGTGCCCCAGGTGTGCACCCTGGCACTGCGCTTAGGGAGGGCTCCGAGCAGGCATGAGGCCGGGGCCACGGGAGGCTCCTGCGTAGCAGAAGTGTGTGACAGTGCTGCTTCGCATGGCAGGCCTGTACGGTGAGAAGGCCGTTTTCAACCCCTTGCAGAGGGTTCCATCTGTCTGCCTGAGACCCTAGAACAGGTCGAGAGGAGCCTTCCGGGGCCCAGGAGTCATTCCTGATTCCTCTTGACGCTCTCACTGACCTCACTGGATTTGTGCCTCATGTAGAGGAAGACCCAAAGTAGGCACCTTCCATCTCTCTTCCTGGCCCTGAGAGCTGAGAAGCCCCCATGGGAGCTGTGGGTGTGGAATTTCAGGAGGAGCCCAATCGTTAAGGCTACAACCTCACCTCGCAGCAGGAGAGGTCTTACTAGCCCATTATACAGGTGAACAAACAGGCTCCCGGGGAGAGGGGGAAGGAAGCGATCTGGCAAGCCAGTCAAGTCCGTTTCCCAACCCCAGTTCCTGATAGAGTGAAGACACACAGGCAAACAGCTCAGTGCCTTTCCCTCCAGGCCTGGGGTTCTGAGCCTGGCCATCCTCCAAGGTGGCCCAAGGCAGCCTAGGTCCTGGCACTAAGGTTCACTTCCCTCCACCCACTCAAACCACACCCCAGGCCTTACAACCAGGCAGCCCGAGCAGCACTTCCGGCCTGGAGTTCTGCCTGACTGGGACTTTTGTCTCTCCCCGGAAAGAAACAAAAACAAAAACTCAAGAGGAGGCTGTAAGTGTTCCAGCATGCTCACCCACTAACGACAATGGAGAGTGGTGAAGCCACTTATGCAAAGGCAGAGCAGGGAAAGCAGGGAGCAGAGATTCCCACTGGACTCTACTGGAAGCCAAGTCTACCACATTGAGCCCTTGGCTGTTCGGGGGCAAAGACAGAGCATCCAGCCCAACAGGCTAAGGAGGAAGTCTTGCCTTGGGGTGGCCTGGCTGCAAACTCACGGACTGACAGCAGGCTCGGGAGCCGGGCTAGTGCTACCACTGACCACGGGAGCTAAGCTGCAGGGCCAGGGGAGGAGGCTCCGAAACTACCCGGGAGCTTCCCCAAGGCAGGCTAGGAGCTCGGAGCAGGTGTGTCATCCACCTGGACGGGGCACCCCAACACCTAGGTCAGAAGTTGTGAGCACTGTGGGTTGTATGAGGGAATGGATACGACCAGAAGCTATTGCCAGGACAAGCCCACATGGTTCTCTAACTTGGCTTGGTTTGTAGAGCTCCCCTGGCAGTATCATGGGGACCCCCCCCCCAGGAGGACAGCAACCTGGGACACACACCCACTTCCCAGGACAGACTTGGGCTCCAGGTCACACAGACAGGAGATGGAAGGCAGCCCTGGGCTGTGACACTCGCTGTTGGCTCTGGACACCCAGTTTGCTTCATCTGCAAGGTGGGGTGCAGCAGGCTGCCCCCCGCCACTTCATTCCTGGCCCAGAATTCTGCCTGGGGCTTCTGACAAACTGGGGAGCCCTCCTCTCCTCCCCCTTCTCCTTCATAGTTCATTGCTAAGTTCACACTTGCCAGAGCCTCTGCCCTGGGCCAGGAAGGTATGTAGAAGGGGGTGACTTTCCCAGGGTGGTGACACTGGGACAGAGTGTTCTGTCACTCATCAGGCCCCTGGCTAGGCAGAGACCATCCTGTCCCACAGAGGGGAGGGGTCTGCATGGGGTCCCAGCCTTTGCCTGATTTTGCACAGTCCTTGATCGGCTGCTCCTAAGTAACTCGATGATGCCCCTAGCCCTGGGGGGCCACCGCCTATGCGCCTCCCACGGGGAAGCCAGGGCAGACAGATTCAGACACAGCTGCCAGGTGCTCACCAACAGAATCCACTCTTGGGCCTGCACAGGAGGGTGGCTGGGGGAGGGAGGTGGCCAGGGCACTCAGGCCTTGCCCTGAAGGGGGCGGGGCAACACAGCTGAGAGGTGTGGTGAGCTGTGTATTTGGGACAGATGGACAAGGCAGGTGGCCACTCCTGGCTCAGCTAGAGGCTGGGAGATGTGGAAGCACAGGGCAGGCTTGGGATGGTGGGCACACCAGACAGCAGGGAGGGCCGGGACATGGGGTCAGTGGGCAGGGTCTTGAATGCAGAGCTGAGCCGGGAGGGGCCCTCAGGGAGCACACTGGCTGACCAGGGGAGTCGCGAAGCAGGGCAGGGGGTGGAGAGGAATCGATGAGGTCACACAGAAGCCAAGGGAAGTGGAGGAGCTTGGCGGGCAGGGATATTGAACGTCCCCAGCTGAGACGGGCAGAGAAGACACAGGACAGGCCTGTGGCACCCAGGCAGCTGCCAGCACTCCGCTGTGACCCTGTGATCCAAGCTGACGCTTCGCCAGGGTGGGGTGTAGATACAGAACAAGCTTTAGTCTTGTTCTAAAAACAAAGAAAATCAGGTGGTGGGTGAAGGCAGCACACACTGGGGCTGCTCCTGGGCACCTGCTGGTGGTCTGCCCACTTGTCTAGCTGTCCACACTCCTGGGCCAAACCAAGACCTGAGCTAGGGGGCCTGAGGTCAAGGGACAGAGTGCTGCGCCCCAGAGCCCAGGCTGAACAGACACAGTGGTCCAGGCGCTCTTACAGACAGGCAGTCCGGCCCAAGACCCTGGCCATCAGGCAGTGCTGACAGCCACCTGCCGCTCCTGACCTCCCTGTCCCCTGCACCTTGGTCCTGGCTGTGACCGCAACTCTTGCACCTTCTCAGCCTCTTCCCAGCTCTCTGCCCCCACCAGGGTGCCCCCAGATCCCGAGTGACCTATCCCCCAACCAACACCTAAGACATCAGACAGGGGTCTCCCAGGAACCCCGGGCCCTGCTCTCTGTGCTTGACCCCCACATACCTGCCTCCATGTTTCCTGGGTGATCCTTCCCTTGGCATCTGCCCAGACCCTGGTGCCTACAGACACACTGACCCACGATGCCACACCTCCCCTCGTGGTACCTCCCCCCACCAGCCCAGCAGCTCTAGACCGTCCCTCAAACCCAGCCCCACTTCTACACGAGCCCTGGGCCCAGGGAATAGCCCACTGTCCGACAGGATAAGGGCACACTGGGACTCCCAGCTCACCTGCAAGTGTGATCTTGGGCAAGTCACTCACCCCCAGGGCCCCGCCCCCCAGGGCCCTGACCATCAGTAGGATGTCTCAGGGGAGGGGAGGCCTGTCTTGGGTCTTAAAGGATGAGTGGGAGTCAGCAAAGGAGGAATGGGGATACGGCTGGTGCTCCTGTGTTAGAGCCCACAGGGGACAGCCGGCCCCCCAACCCCGGGAATGGGGAGGGCACCGCCAAGAACTGGGAGGTGTGGCTACAGCCATCAGCCAAGGCCACCTGCAGGGCCAGACCCCTCTGATCGCTGGGTGCTGAGGTCACTGGGGAAGCCAGGAGAGGAGGCCCCAGGGAGATGGAGGAGAAAGGCAGGGACTGTACCCGGCCCCGGGAGGAGAGAGACGGAAGGTGAGAAGTGGAGGCAGAGGAAGTGCCACTCCCACCCCCTCAGCCCCTGTGGCACGGCCCGGAGGCGACACAGACACACGAACATGCAGACAGCACAACACAGACACGGAGGGGAGGCAGGGGACAGCAGCAGTGAGGACCACTCCGGCAGCTGCCCCCGAAGCACAGACCCCTGGGGGACAGGCGCATGCTGGGTTCAGGGGGCTCCTTACCTAGAGTGTCCTTTCCCACTTGGCGAACTTCTACTCATCCTTCAAGACCCAGCTCAAGGGTTCCCTCTTCTACGGGAGCCTTCCCTGACCCCCAGCCAGTCACTTCCTCTGTGTTCCCAACAGCACCTTGTACATGGGAATAACAACAACAACAGTCAATGGCACCCACCGTTGACTCAGGAACCCACGTGCCGAGTGTGCCAGCTCCCAATGATTTGAGACACATTTCACTGAATAAACCGTGGCTCAGAGAGGTCGACCAACAAGCCAAAAGCCACACAGCCAGGCAATGACAGAGTCAGAGTCCCACCCAGTTCTGGTCCCGCACCACAAAGGTCAATTGAGCACATTCCACTGCTGCTGTTTCCCTGGGTGTTTTCTCCCGTGTGTCTATTGGCCACTCCTAAAAGACCCATTGTATAGATGGAGCAACAGAGGTTCAGAGCCACTGAGCACCTTTCCAGAGTTCACAGAGCCCAGTCGGGGTTTGCAACCAAGTCTATCTAGCACTCTTTTCCAGCCCAGGAAGTTCCACAAAGCAGCATGCAGCAGCAGGTGGGGGAAGGATAGAAGGAGGGGTAGACCAGATGTCGGGCCTTGCCACCTGAGGACATTCAGTCTTAGACAAATGGACAGAAAGGAGACCTGGAGTCTAGGTCTTCTCCCCTCCCCACGCCCCAGCCTATCCCACAGTCATTCAACACAGACACTTGCCCAGCCCCCTGGCCACGTGGGAACAAGCTCCCGACCACACGGACGGGGAAGGGCAGGATCCAGAGCTGCCCGTACACTGTGATTACAAGAAGGCAAAAATACAATCCCGGGTCCGGAAAGAAAAGCCATGGGAGGCACGCCCAAAGGGGGGTGGGCAGCACCCAGGGTCTGCTCCAGCTCTCGGCTTGCTTTCTCTGACTTCCAAAGTCTCAGTAATGTCGTTTAGTGGCTTTTGTAAAGAAAACAACACACTCATTCTTTAATAATAATGATAATAATAATACAGGAAGTGGCAGGTAGCCCAAGGTGGGGGCACGGGATAACAGCTCTGGAGGCAGGAGGTACAGGGGAAGGTGAGGTTGGCAGACGCTGGCACACCTGTGGGGCCCTGCAGCGCCCCCATCCTCAAGGCGTGGGTCACCTGGGTGTGGCGGGTTGTCAGGGTGGCTGTCCGGAAGAGGTGACATACAAGTAGCTCTTGAAGTTGGGAGGCAGCCCACGTGCCAGGGCATGCTCTGCCTTGTGCCCCTTCAGCTCTGGCCTCTCACTGGCAGGTGCCCGTTCATCCTCCGTCCCCGTTGGATCACAGCCCCACTGACGGGAACCTGCCCAGGCTCCGCCGGCCCTCTCTGGCCTCACTGCCTGCTCCACCTCCAAGTCCCAGCCAGCCCTGCATCCCCCAGCTCCCTTCTCAGGCTTCTTCACATCAGCCAGGCGGTGTCCACTCCCCGGGCACTCTTCTCTCCCCACCTCTCCGACCGATTCCAGCCTAGCCCTCTGCCTGGCTGACAGATCACACTCCCTCCTGGAAGTCTTCAGGGACTGTTCCCTCTCCGCCTGGGCTGTGTGCAGTGTCGGAGCTCTCTGCCCACTCTGTCTCCTGCATTCCCATGACCAGGGTCCTTCTGTTTTCATTCCTTCTAAAAAATATTTTTTTTCTATTATTTTATTTGAAAGGAGAAAAGAGAGATTCACTCCCCAGATGCCTGCTGCAGTCTGCACTGGAGCCATTGCCTGTTGCCTCCAAGGGTGCACGTTAGCAGGAAGCCGGGACTGCGAGAGGAGCTGCTGGACCACAGGCACTGTGGGTTTTCTGTATCCGTGTCCATCTCTGCTGCTGGACACTTGTTCTCAGGCGAGGCTGTGGCTCGTAGCTGAGCTGGTCACCTTTCCCCACTATATAGCCTCTGACACAGGTCAGAACAAACACCAATGGTTAAAGGAGTTCCTGGGCGGAGGGAAGGCACCCACATGGTCACCGAATGGAAAACGCCGCCGTCCCCTCCCAAATCCCAGGGTTGCGCCCCGGATCCGCGCCCTCTCTTCCTAACTGACCTGACATGGGGCTGGCTATGTGGACTCTGGCAAGCCTGGCAGACCCCAAAAAGAATGGCAACAGCTAGCACTCAGCCAGGGGTCCCACCTGTCCGCAGTGCAAAACAAATGTGTTTCACCTGTCTAAACAGAGATGAGAATGTGCTAGCACCCAGGACCGGGGAAGGCAGGGTGAGCCAGCACCCAGCACCAGGGAAGAGGGGGCAGTCACACCCAGTACTGGGAGTGCTGGAGGGAGGGCACAACACTGACACGTCCCTGTAGTGAGAGAGAGAATGTACACTGGAAGATTACTTCTGAAAACAACCTGGCAACAGTATGTCAAGGGCTTTACAAGGCTTCCATTCCCCGTCCCAGTGATGGGTGATATGCCATTTTCCATCCCTTATCCCTAGAAAATGATCCAAAGGCAAAGTGGTACACATAGAGTTGTCTCCCGCTGGTGGCACCACAGGTCTCATTACCCAGTAACACAAGGCTGTGGGCGTCAGCATCCGTTGTTCCTGGCACTTCAGGGTGTGGGCAACATCATCATCTCCTGGTAACTGAGACCCAGAAAGAAGAGGTCACAAGGCCAAGGTCTTCCCAGCGCGCAGGGCTAGGACCCCACTCCCTTGCACTCCAGAGCCCAGGCTCTCCACCCTGCAGCTGGGTTCCCTAAAAAGGATTCAGAACAGTCCCACAGGGGCAAGTGCTGTGGTACAGTGGGTGAAACCACTGCCTATGGCGCCAATGCCCCAGGGTAGTGTCGGTTCACATCCCAGCTGCTCCACTTTTCATCCAGCTCGCTGCTAATGTGCCTGGGAAAGCAGCCTGACAGCCCAAGTGTTTGGGCCCCTTCACCCATATGGGAAACCCCAATGAAGCTCCTGGAAACAGCCTGACCCATCCCCAGCCATCCATCGTGGCGAGTGAACCAGTGGGGGGAGGCTTGCTCCATCTCTCCCTCTTTCCCTGTAGCTCTTTCAAATAAATAAACAAATATTTAAAAAGAAAGAAAGAAAGAAAGAAAGAAAGAAAGAAAGAAAGAAAGAAAGAAAGAAAGAAAGAAAGAAAGAAAGAGCAAAGAAAAAGCAAGGAAAAGAAAAGCCCCACAGGACTAAGCCAGGGGAATGGACAATTTTCTTTGCCCTTCAAAACACACACACACACACAGAAATAGAATGCAAGTTCCCCCTCCCCCATCATTTAGAAGGTCCTCATGATAAAACAGGAACAGAGATTAAAAAAAAAAAGATAAGGGAAAGAGAGCAACAGGATGTAAGAACAGCACTGAGAGAAGGCGGCGGGGTAGGCAAGGCAGCACACGCGGCAGAGCTTGGGTCTGGACTTGCGTGGAAGCAGAGCGACTGGGTTTGATCAGCTTCACTCCCCTGCTTTCTGATTCTGCTGTCCTGTGGCTATGTGGCTTTGTGAAGGAATAATGTCAATCACACTCAAAGGTCCTGGGGCATGCCTCTGGTGTGGTGATTAAGATGCTGGGCTCATCTCCTCCGGGAGTGGTCCTACAGGCTTGAGTGCTGGCTCAACTGACCAGTGCTTCCAGCTTCCGGCTGGAGAACGCCCAGGGGGGCAGCAGGTGGTGGGTCAAGTACAGGGATAGGTCCCTGCCATCCACCTGGGATCTAAGCGGCCCTCTGTGGGGTGAAGCAGCCTCTCACATGAATGCATGAAAGCTGAACAGGGCCTGGCAGCGCAGGGCGCCCCAATTCCCTACCCAGGATCTCATGTCCTGTGTGTCTGCTGAGAGGGGAGCTTGGGGAGGGGCAGGATTTGTTCAAACGTCCCACAGCCCCTGGGCCACCTGAACCCCAGCGGGGAGCTCAGAGGCAAGATGCCCTGTTGCATCCGTTTGTGCCGTCCCAGGGCTGTGGCAGGGAGGATCAGCCCACGCAGAGCCTATCCATGGCACTCATCCTCCTGTTCCAAGCCCCTCATCACTTTGAGGTGCAGCCCTAAATGTCCCCCCCACAGGTGGGTGCACCTGCCACCCCAGCCTTCTATGACAGAATGCTCACAGTGCAGGGCCTCTTGCACATGCTGCACTCTCTTGGCGGCAGCCTTGCCGTCAACTCTGCTCCAGGCGGGGGCGTCGGGGCAGTGGGCATATGCCACTGGGAACGCCAGAAGCCTACACAGAGTGCCTGGGCTTCAGGCCTGGCTCTGCCTCTTGCTAATGCATACTCTGGAGGGGCAGCGATGAAGGCTCAACTGCTTGGGTCCTCACCATTCTTGTGGGAGACCCAGATGCAGTTCCTGTCTTTGACGCAGCCCAGCCCTAGCTGCTGCAGGTATGAGGAGTGAACCAATGGATAGAAAAATCTCTGTCTTCCTTTCACATACATCAAATACGATTTCTTAAACAACTGAGCTCAGGTGTTGCTGTTCTGAGTGATATGACTGCCTGCCTCGCAAGTCAGCTGTGAGCTCCCCCAAGGCCAAGGCTGCGACCTGGCCCTTTGCTGTGACCCCGCTCTCCCCACTCAGTCCACAGCTCACCGGGCTCCTCTTTCACATCACAGCTTGGAGCCTACTTTCTCTCCTTCCCGATAGGAACTAGGCTCCCCCATTCTACACTTTCCCTACACCCCCTGTGTGTCACACCTCTACTCCCATCAGCTGGGACCAAGATCCACAGGACAGGCCCACCACTGCAAGCCCCACAGCCAAACACCTGCCACCTAACAGGTGCCCATCTGCCTCATTCACACCACAGGCTCATTAACTGCTCCCTGAGAGAATCGGGGGACTTTCCATGCAGGCTTAGAAGGTGAAACATTTGGCAGGAGGGCAGGAGGATAGGGACAGAGTATTCCCAGAGAGGGACAGCAGGTGCAGAGGCCTGGCGGCCAGCAAGCACATGGCAAAGTGTCCGGTCCGCTGTGGGTACCACGTAACAGCTCACAGGGAGGCAGCGTGTGCAGTTCAAACAACGGCCCAGGATTGCAAGCTAAAAGGCTTGATGAGAATTTATGGGGGACCGTGTGTTGTCTCCGAGCAGGGGAGGGCTGTGGCCAAGGGTTCCAAGAACAGGCCCTCATGGGGCAGGAAGGAAATGACCAGCATATGACCCAAGA